CAAGCAGGATATTACATTATTTTTTTAGGAATTAATCACACCATCATTCACATATCAAAATGTGACGTAACTTAAAGAATAAAAATGCAGATTTACCGTATGTTAGTGTTGAATGAAATGCTCAACAATTACTTTTCATGGTGGGCAGTATAAGTAGCTCAGAGCTTTGGCTCTGAGTGAAACCAAGAACTCGACACAATTAACCTTTTTAAAGTCCATTAAATAATTTAATTGATAGACTAACTGGTTTCTCTGTCGTAGCGCCATCTTGTAAAATAAGATAGCTTGTGTTCGGTAAAGGAAACTATTTGGAAATGATTAGTTTTAGCCTAACGTTAGGAGACGTAGGGTTTCGTGTATGTAGGAAACTAAAAAGTAACCTATTGAATTTTAATAAAGCTTATTCGTATGAAATATGGAAACTCGCTTCATTTTCACAGAAATATACACGGACAAAGTTTTCACAAGAAAAGTGAGGAAAAAAGAAAGGAAAGTCATTTTAAATTTTTATAAGTAATTTACATTATAAAATAAACTAATTGATTAAGAATAGAAATTTTTTTTGTGTGTGATTAATTTAAATACAACAACCATAACTATAAATTAAAATGTATCGATAGTTCTGTACCGTGTACTTAGATATGCACATTTTGAAGTTTGGTCTGAATGACTTCGTTAGTTCATGAAATTGAAAGTGAAACTTATGTAGTTATACTGTAAGTGTAACTTATGCTGTTAATGTTATAGTACTACGAATACTGAGTAATACTAATAGTATAAAATCTTAAGTAGTTCTAACCTTTACTCTTAGTCCTATGGTATTGATAGTACTAGTGAAGCCCACTAATGTTCGAGGCTAGGCTTAGTCTTACCAAATTTAATGGTATACATAGCGCAAAATCACAAATTCCGTTATAAAATTAAAAATTGGTGTACTATAGTGGTAGACTTCCCAGCATGAATAGTAGAGCTATTCTAGTTAATATAAGCGTAATAGTAAGAATGTTATGTCATTAAGCTTAACCAACAAATTCTAAGCATTGCAATACAAAACTGAAGCTATCAATGGGAATAAATGACGTGGTTTAAATTGAAATGAAAATAACATAGGATGGTAGGTATATGCTAGTAATCCTGAATTTAAATGAGTAAAAATTGCATGTACTCGTTCAGCTCATTTGAGCTATATTGTTTATTCGATTAACATCACTAAAATTTAACCATAATGCAGTTTAGTTTTTCAGCCTTTTATGAATTCTGTTTTTGTTTTTATGTCTTTTGTCAAGGTTAATGTTAATTGTTATACAAGAACATAGGAACTAATGTAATGATGAATATGCTATATCATTTGGCCTATCCATCATATCATTTAACCTTGTGAATAATCAACCTATTAATTAAATAGGTAGTCCTGTTTGATCTGTTTACATTCCAATGATGTTTATAGTAAAATTATAAAAGATTTTTAGTGTTGCATTTGTGGATTTACTAATTCAGAAAAATAATAACCATAATCAAAATACATCATAAGTAGCTTACACCTTTGTTTTTGGCAAGTGTTGAGATGACTAACATTTAAGTTTACTACTGTATGTGTGTGTGTGCATTTACTTAGTCAAAAATTATATTTTGTAATTGCTAATTGGCAGTGTATGCAGCCAATTATAATAATTAATCTTATGCAGCATGAAACTCCTTCAATTATATCTTCAACTGCTGCAAGGGAACCAATGTTTGAAAAATAAAGTGTATCATCTCCACTAAACAAAATAGTAAATCAACAACTTGTTTGGATTATTTTGCTAATACCACACAAATGAGGACACTGCTCCCAACAGTAGTGAGAGAAGCTGACAGGTACTGTATTTTGGATAGAGCTGCTGCAGCCCTTACCTCAGCTGTTTTGGGAGATATGGGCATTATTCAATAAAACGACAATGCTAAAATTGTTGATAAAAACAAGATACAATGCAAACAAGAAAAATACTGCAAAACATTATTGACTTCTGATGAATCAAATTGTATTAAATCTATCTACTTTGAAGATAGAAAAGATATAACTTAAATTGTCCATATTAAAAATGGGCAAAAACATTATAAACGTGTAGTCATGGAACAGCACATAACTTTGGTCAGTGAACCTGAATCAGTTTTCATGGATTACATTTCTACTTCTGGTACATCAGAAGGTATAAAACGTTCTATCATTCAGTGGTTTGAAGATAACAGAATTTCATCTGATCATTTAGTCGCTGTAGGCTGTGACGGCACATACGTCAATACTGGAAAAAAAGCTGGAGTTATGCGGCTTCTTGAATTGCACTTAAGAAGAACTATTCATTGGTTAATTTGTTTGTTACATGCCAATGAGTTATCCCTGCATCATCTATTTATGCATCTTGATGGAGTAACTCTAGTACCGTCCACTTTTTCTGGTCCTCTTAGAAAGAAACTGAAGACTTATGAATTATTGCCTTCAGTAAACTTTGTTTCAGTCAAAATTACAGAGTCATTACCGAAAACTGACAATCCTGAGGAACTTAGTACAGATCTGCTGTTGTTAACCAGTGAGAATGGTTCATTGTACCAGGGTCACGTAAAGCAAGTTCTCTTGAACAATGACCTGACACTACCACATTGCACATGTCATACAAATATTTTTAACAGGATTTTGCACCTTTACATTGCACCTGCTAACCTATCCAAGAAGCTAGTTTGTTAGTGAGATATGTAATTGTAATGTATGCAACAGTTTAGTTTAACATCAAGAAAAATCCCTTGTGCAGCCACTGCACCTTTTTCTACTTGTAAGAAAATCACATTTTCTTCCTGAATCAGAGAAATATATGGTAGATAGAATAATCTAGAGAAATGCATATTTTATCCAGCCAGAAAAAAACAAGCGTTGCTTGCAATGCTTGGAGATGATTCTAAGGCTATCAAACAACTTGCTCTTCATAGAATTTTAGCTGCTTGATCTAACTCAAATTCTTGCACAATGAGACAGTTTGTGGCTCCAAATATTAACATGGAAACTGATCTAATAATGTGGACTAAGAGTAGAGCCACCATGTACAAAAAATACAAGCAATGAACAGTTGGTGTCTTTCATTAATCAAGATGACATGCCAGTTTTCAAGTTCAGCATACTGTGTCACACACATGCAGTTGAAAGGCATGTTAAAATAGTAACGGAAGCTTCAGCAGCTGTTTATGGCTATTGCGAAAGAAAGGGATTCATTAAAGCAAAACGTCAATCTCACATGAAAAAATTTAATACTAAGAAACTGTACATAATCCAGTAATTCTTTTGCCCAGTGGAAGGGTAGTTGGGTGGGCATGGGTGGAACTCGACATGCAATTACTTCTTCATGGTGAGTTCTGGGTAACTTAGGTTATAAAACTTCTAAATTAGCTAAACGTTGCATATTCAAAGTTATGGTATTTTGATTTGTCATATACTTTGATTATGGATATTTTATGAAAAATAACCCCTCCTCATGGCAGGACAACATATAATTTTAGAAGCCTGAAACTTACCAATATAATTACTACTATTAAAAGGCACCAGTCGCATACTCTGCCGATAATGATGTAAAAAATTTGTATTTTTGATGCACCCACAGAAATATTTTCAAGGAGGTGCAAAACATATATGTAGCTTTTACAGTATAAGTCAATAAACTAAAAGAATATGTATCATTTATGCTTAAATGCAAACACAATTTTACAGTTTTAATCAAAATTACTAAAGATATTTAGTTTAACTACGTTTACATCGTAATACATGCAATTTTTTGTGAAATGTAAGGGAAGCAAATGCCCCCTCGTGCTCCTTCCTGTAGGCACCATGTGTGTATGTGTCTCTCTCTCTGTATATATATATATATATATATATATATATATATACTATGTATATATTACTTATATATATAACTAATTAATTAAATTATTATTAT